AAGAAAATGACAAAACTTATGCAGAAAGGTATGCCATTGCACATGAACTTATCTTAGTATGGGGAACCTGTATAAATAAAATGCCAGGTTTTCAGAAAATGTGCGATGAACTTGGTAAAAATGTTGAGGAGATTACTAGGAAAAACAAAACGATCATGAATCAAACCCTCGAGCAACTTGTGAATTTAAGTTTATCGCTTGGGACAGCATCCGGTGAAATGAATAGAATAGAAAATCTATTCGTTGAAATCAGTAATAATCTGAAAAAATATAAAGATGATATTGCAACGACTGAAGAAAAGGTAGGGGGATTCCGTGACTTACTGGATGGAACTATACTTCAGATTAATAGAGCACGGCTGGCCAGGACTCCGGCCTATAGCAACCAAGCACAACAGTGTTCTATATGTAATAATCCATACGTGTTTCTTAAATGGTGTAAATTTTGTGATCGGGAACAGTTTCGGCAACAGTTCCCAAATTGGGGGAGTGGTAATACAGAGTTCGATAAAATTATTCGCGATTCACAGCTCTCCATTAAGTATCCCAATGGATATATACAATGGATCCCTTATGAAAAATTTCATAATATTACATTCGTGGGTTCCGGTTCATTCGCAAAAGTTTATAGGGCCGATTGGGTTGAAGGATTTGGTATCTGGGATTATGCCCTTGGAAGGAGAGTTCTTTATCCAAATACTCCTGTGGCTTTGAAAGAACTCACAAATTCAAAGGACATAAGCAAGAACTTCCTCGATGAGGTAATATAAATGTTTGAATACGCAGTGGTCTAGAATATCTTTAATTGTCCAATTCATAGTCTTACTCTGCCTCTATTAATTATTTTAGGTCGTTGCATATGTCAAGTCATCCTCCAGCACAGTTCTTCGCTGCTATGGCATCTCAAAAAATCCAGAAACCAATGACTATATTATAGTCTTTCCTTATGCTCACGGGGGCAATTTGAATAAATATTTGGAAAAAAGGCTAGATTGGGTAGATAAATTGGATGTTTTACGACATATTTTATACGGACTTGTCGATATTCATAATAGAGGTCTAGTTCATCGCGATCTACATCCGGGAAATATTCTTCATTACAGGAGAACAATGACCGTATCTGACTTAGGTTTTTGTCGTCCGGCCGATGATTTGACCGATTCTGAGAAAGTATTTGGCGTCTTGCCATTTGTAGCCCCGGAAGTTTTGGATGGCGAACCTTACACTCAAGCATCGGACATCTATAGTATTGGAATTATCATGTGGTTTCTCATTTCGGGAAAGTATCCGTTCAAGGATCGTGCATATGATGATTACTTAGCTGATGATATAATATGCGAGAATCTTCGTCCAGAACTTATTAATGGAACGCCACCAGATTATGAGAAATTAATGCAAAGGTGCTGGGATGCAGATCCTAAGAAACGCCCAACGACAAGAGAGTTATATCAACGAATATTGGACTGGCTTTATGATTTTGATAAGAGCCCCTTACCAGACTCGGCTAAACAATTTATTACTGCCCGATTAAACCTATTCGATGGATTACACGCTTTTAATAGTGGACATTCCAGACAATCGAGAATTATAAAATCTCGTAACTCGATAGGGAAAATACAAAAAGGTAATAAATGGTTTATTTAAAATGCAGGTTGTGCAGTAAACTCATTATTGCATAACTTTAGAGAATAAGACCGTCACGAATATAAATATCGTCGATAAAGATGAAGGTAGGTCCTTAAAATTTCATCCAAAATTGGTTCAAAACAATTTACGTGTTAAACAGAATCATGTATATATCAGCTGATGAATGGAATACGGTCCACCTCAATGATTACCAAAACTGGCTTTGTAAGTACCATGCCCGTTATTATTTAAAATTAAAATACGTAATTGTTTATTCGACGCGTGCATATAATAGACAGGGTTGACGTGATGGGAGATTTTTCCAAGGAAAAAATCGCCACAATTGTCGACAATCATTATCCTCAATTGGTCTTTAATGAACCAAGATCTCTTTTAAGATCGATGGCGGAGAAGAAAAATTCAACTAACGATGGTGGTAAGTTTCTATTTCAAACTTGTCAAAAAAAAAAAAAAAAATTAATTATATAATGTTTAATGTTTAATGTTTTAGCGGAAATACGTGTTTCCGAGGACCTTTACAAGTTTACGAGATCATTGCACTGAATGGATCCGAAAAATTATCCTTTCACCATGATGACATTATATTTAAGTGTAACGTTTCATTTTAATATTGTTGAATTTAACAGACATATTGCATATTCAATATACCTTTAAGCACTATTTTACAAATAAATATATGTTTATCCATTTTACTCGCTTATTAAATTAAACAATACGTAAATAAATGAATAAATGTAAGTACTTTACTATATGGATAAACATTATAAGTATGTGCAGTCATACTTAATTAGTTATACATACTACACTGCTGTATATTAGTTCAGGTTAGGAATCCTCCATTTATACTACGTGCAGCTCATTAAACGATACTGTGCGTAGTTTCGTCAGAGACTATCTGAGGATAGATTGTTTTAAATATTAATGTTGGTTATTACACTGACTCAAAAAATTGTCCCAATAATTAAAACTTTTTTGTTTATAGGATA